CCCGCGCCCGGCCGGCGCCTTCGCGTTGCCCCCGGCATCCCGCGGAAAGGAGCGGGTCCGCGCAGAAACCGCGGCCCTGGACGCGCGCATTGTTCAGCGAATCAGGCGTCCCCGCGGGTGTCCCCGCGGATGCTCCTGACCCCGGTTTTTGGGAGACCGACGGCAAGAGTGGGGCCCATCTGCCCCATCGGGGCATGGAAACCCTTACAGAAAAAAAAAAAAAAAGGAAAAAAAAAAAAGAAAAATAATCCCTTTGGCCGCGGTGTCCGGCCTGGATGTGAAAGTCTGCAATTAAAACCGGCCTCGGTTTGTTTCTCTTACATTTGGCAAAGGGCAGTGGAATTTTTGGGACTCCATCCTCTTCCCGCACAGGCAGGACCAAGACTGGTGCGGCTTTGCCCGGCGCCTCGGCTGCGGTGCTGGTCCTGGGTGCGCAGCCACCCAGCCCCACTGCCCTTGCCTGCCCCTCTCCTAGATTTTCTCAGTTATTTATTGCTAATCTTTATTTTACCAGACAATAGAAAATATCAAAGTCTATCTCCATGAGAAGGAGCTATGGAAGAAATTTCATGAAGCTGGCACCGAAATGATAATAACCAAAGCAGGCAGGTTAGTGAAAATTCCCCGCAAACGTGTATTGCTTCTGATCCTTATGAAATGTCCCTCTTTGCCGAGAGTGCGTTTTTGCAGAACTACTGCAGTCAGTGACATTTAAAAAAAACCACATTATTGTGATTGCAGATTTCAGTAAGATAGTTTTTTCGGTGTAAACTGTGCACGGGTTTGAGCGTGGCAACGAGATTGTGCATGCAAGAAACAGTTGTGGAGTCATTTGCTAAATTTAGTCCTAATTCTCTTTGGTAATTTTTTAAGATGTTAGCATGATTGTGGCTCTGCTTTCATTTTTTTTTTTTTTTCCCCCCAAAGCAAACCTCACGCCCCTTTTCTGCACTATGCACTGGCATGTGCTGGGATACTTTGCACCGAAGTTTTAGCGATACAAAGGCTTAGGCTATGTTTTTAATCTCAGAATTGAAAGACAGGTACTACTTTTTTCTTGTTAGGCGTGGAAAAAAAAAATTCTGTCTTCTCTCGGAAAAAGAAAAACCCAGTGATTTTTACCAAACCAGAGCCCCCTCAATGTGCAGACCCAGGCCTGGGCAGGAGAGAGCCCAGCGGTTCCCAGAGGCTTCACTTCCCCGGGGAACCCATCCCTGCGCCTGCTCAGGGCTTCCTTCCCATCAGGTGGGAGACGATAGAATTAATGTCAGAAAATTAAACACCAGAATCAAGCTTCAGGCCATCACCAGCCTGGGAATCAGATGGTTCTTAACAGAACTAGACAGCTACTACTGTGGGCACCAAAATATCTGTCCCTGGCTTCTGTGGCAGTGGGCTCATGTTGCTGCTGCTGGAAAAGAAAAATTGCCAGACTTAGGTATTAAAATCCGTTTAGTTCTAACAACACAGCTGTGTGGTTCTGCTGTGCCCTGTGATTGCTGATTTTACACCATGCTAGACAGCTGCGGAGGAGGACATGCAAATAATGGGGAGAAAGTAGAAAAATAAATCCCACAATCAATATCTGTGCAGTCTTTTTTTTTTCCCCGTGGCCCCCGATTCTTCGTGCAGGGCAGCTGGATCGCTCGTGTGTGTGTGTGTGTGTCTTTTCTCCCCTATTTGCTGCTCACACTGCGAGACCCAAACCCCAACCCCTGGCTTCGGATTTGGGGAGTGATGGGTCGTTTCCATCTCCTTCCCCCGTTCCCGGCAGCGCTGCTCTGTGCAGCAGCTGGCCGTTGTAGGGAAGCTTTACTCTAATAACCAAGATATTCCATTAGTCCCTCTGGAGAGGGGGTGTATGTCCCGGGGATCTTCAATTTGTTTGCTATTTGGCCTATTTATGAAGTGATTGTGCAGGTAATTCTGTCCTTATCATGCTACCTTTTGGTGAATAAAATCTTAGGGCTTGTTCCATAGCGTCTATTGATGTGAAGAGCCGGATTCATTTTGATAGGTCTGCTACCTAAGTCAGCTAAGACTAGGGGATCAAGACCTCAAATATTTCACCCTTAATTTATAGTATCTGAGTGTGTCTGTGCGGGACGTGTAATATCTTTACCAAATTCTAGACCCTAAGCATCCCAAATGTGCATGTTATCTCTTTGTAAGTCTTAACGTGGATTGTTTAAACAAATCCATATGTATGGGGCTCAGTCCCGCATTCTTTGTCCGGTGGAGCTGGCAGTGCACACGTAGTCACCTTTCATGAGCGTGTGGATGGGGCTGAGGGATGGAGCGATTGAACCCAAGATGTTCAAAACTCTGTTTTCTAAGTTACCTAAGCCAGGTCCTCCATTTGTAAAAATCGGTGCAGCACCAGCAAGCTAACAGCGATTTTATTTTTCTATACATAGTTTTGAATAAATAAATTAAAAAAAAACCCAAACAAAACAGCTGAAATGCTGATGAATAAGATGAAACAAACCAGTCACTTCATTGCTTTTCTCGGTGTCCAGCTGCAAATGGCGTCAAAATAAAGGACAACTTTTTTATCCGTGTTAGCAGTGAGCCTAAAGCCTCCCCAGCCCCGGAGCCCACCAGCGGGAGCGCAGCCGGCCGGGGGCGATGCTGCCGGGCCGGGGCT